CTCTATAGTTGTTTTTTTTTTTTCAACTGTATCAGGGCAACAACATCAATGTATTCGAAGGCAAAATGATAATATTTAGTGAGGATCTTCCGCAAAGACTCAGCTAGGTGGTGATCAGAACCTTGAAGATACATTCAACAGTTTGCATGAGAGTGTTCTTAGAAGGATTTTGAATTATTTCCCAACTCAAAACAAGTTGATGTAGTATTTCCGAACATAAATCAAACCAAGAAGAGTTACAATTCAAGCAAAAGCATCGAGAATCTTATGGACAATGGGACGAGTTTTACACATGGCTTGTAACGGTGTAGCTGGACGCATCATAGGTGCCTCTCTAGTGTCAATATATTCTTCTCCAATTCTCTCCCATTCGAAACATTGAACCATCGATCCGAGAGCCAAGCTCACTAACCGATGAGTTAATCCAACCCCGGGACATGATCGTCGTCCAATCCCAAACGAAAACACCTTTTGATTTTCCTTTTCATTTTCGAACCTCTCTGGCTTGAACATTTCTGGATCTTCCCATATATACGGGTCTCTATGCATGGCCCATACGTTCACCAATAACATCGACCCACAAAGAACGTCGTATCCAGCTAAAATGCAATCATCTGACGTCATATGTGGAACAAGTGTAGGAGCTACAGGGTGAAGACGTAAGGTCTCCAACACAATCCCTTGGAGATAAGGAAGATCTTTAATATCTTGTTCATCTATTAACCGGTCAAAACCGATTTTGGTATCGATTTCGGTTCTTGCTTTCGTTAATACCCCTGGATGATTCAACAAATTCAACATAGCCCATTCTAATGTTCCTATTAGTGTTTCAGTTCCGGCAAGTATCATAACCTGTAAACATTAAATTAACAAAAGTTTAATCTGTGTTCTTATATATTAAATCGATTATTCAAGATTACGAAATGTAGAAAAATAGTACTTACAACTATGATCCCCTTTAGAGTGATATCTGTGTAATAATTAGGTTGGATTTCTTGGAGAGAAAGCAAGTGATCCATCATAGTGTCGCCCTTTTCTTTATCCGCACGTTTTTCATCCACCAGGCTCTGCAAGAACTCATCAACCCGACCCGCTAAGTTCTTGACCCGTTTCTCAAAACTTGTGATCCAACGCAAGATTGGGATATAATCAGTAGCATTCCCGGCGCCGGCGTAGGATACCACCTCGTCAATAAGCTGTCTCACTTGCTCTGTTCCATCACCATAAAATCTTTTCCCAGCCATCATTCTGAGAATGTTATTGATAGTCAAATCCATAAACAATGATCTCATCTCCACCTTCGCAAACCCCTAATTTATAATCAAATAAACAAATTATCATTTCTCAAACTTGTGTTGCACGGACTCAGGTTATGACCTAGTGGCCACACTAAGACACACTACTAGGTTACAAACTCTGATAATGTTTATAGAGTACAATCTTCAAGTTATGTACAAGCTCACATACATGCTGGGAGTTTTTGGAGAGACGAAGTAGCAAGTGTCGGATCTCGTCCTTACGGACAGATAAAAAGCCATTGAGCTTGTGCGAGGAGAAGATCTCGAGGGTGCTGAGACGCCGCAAGTTTCGCCAGTGGTCACCATAAGGCGCACTGGTCACAGTGGTGAAGTTGTACTCAATGTATTTCCCGACTATGGACTCTGGGCGGTTGGCCAAAACGATGTCGTTTTCTGTGAAGCATTCTTCGGCGATGGAGTAGGAGGAGACGACAACGGCGAGACGGTTTCCGAGGCGGAGGGAGAAAATTGGGGCACTGTCGAGAGATTGAGAGAAGGATAGGAATGTGCGGTGGAGAGGCTGCTTCAGGAGGTGAAGGTGTCCAATCAACGGTAGTGGCATTGCCGGACTTGGTGGTAGGTTAAACTTGCTGTGCCGTTTACCAAACAAAGGTTTTAGAGAAATGAAAAAGAAGATGGCAAGGGATAAAATTAGAAAGTAAGTTTCCATTTTAGATTAAGAACTTCTTCTTGTTGTAAATGTGTTGAATCGAACATGGGAGTTATTAGTTTATGTAGCTTAGTTTATAATGAAAACTCTCATGCAATTATCACACCTGTCACTAAAGATATCTTTTTTTTTAATAAACTAAAGATATGTTCGTAACGTCTCATTCATTAATGACTAATAAATATGTGTAGGTCACCCTTAATAATAATTTATGATTTGTTGATTTTTAACCACTATGGTTTAAACCAAAAACGTAAACGCTAGCAATATATATTGTCTATAATATTAGAAAGAAACAAATTTCTACTCAAAACCCTATTAATTAAAGCAAAATAAATAGACTATCAATATTAATGGTGACTTATTACACATGTTTATTAGTCAGTAATTGCATGAGACGTTACGAAGTTACGAACATATCTCTAGTGACAGGTGGGAATAATTGCATGAGAGATTCCATTATAAAACAAGCTCCCTTTTCTTAACCCTTCCTCAACAAAAAAAAAAAGTAATAAATTGGAAAAATTTCTTCACCCTTTCTCAAAGTAAAAAAAAACTACTCCTCATTCATAATTTTAAAAATTTAGAAGTGAGTTTATTTGATAATGGAGTAGCCTTTAACTTCTAAATTTTGGTTTTTTGAAAAAAAATATAGTTTTTGAATTTTAATAAAATCGAAAATCTAAAGGTAAATCAAAGACTAGTCTTTATCTTTCATTTTAATTACATCTAAAAATGGATATAACATAAATGGATATACATATTTTTTAAAAAGGGAGTGACATCTCAAAAAGAAGCATTGAAAATCTTATGAACAATAGGACGAGCTCTACACATGGCTAGCAACGGCGTCGCTGGACGCATTGTGGTTGCTTCACTTAGGTCAACATATTCTTCTCCAAGTCTCTCCCATTCAAAACATTGAATCATCGATCCGAGAGCCAAACTCACGACCCGTTGAGCTAGACCAGACCCGGGACAAGCTCGTCGTCCCATTCCAAACGGCATCAACTTTTGTTCTTCTCCTTTCTTCTCGAACCGCTCTAACTTGAACTTTTCTGGCTCTTACCATATGTTTGGGTCTCGGTGAATGGCTGGCCCATACGTTCACGATTAATGTTGTGCCAAGAGGGAAGTCGTAGCCTCCAACTATACAATCATCTGTAGCCCTATGAGGAGCAAGTAAAGGAGCTGCCGGGTAAAGTCGAAAAATCTCTGATATGATGCATTGGAGGTAAGGAAGACTTTTCGCATCCTGTTCATCTATTAACCTGTCTAAACCAATATTTGTATCGATTTCGATCCTCGCTTTCTTTAGTACTTCTGGATAGTTCAACAGATTTAGCATCGCCCATTCTAACGTTCTTGTTAATGTTACATTTCCGGCAAATATCATAACCTATCCAAATAGAAGTCAATAATTAGTCATTATAAAAAGCTTAGTTAGCCTTGTTAGTTGTTAGTGATGTATTAAATATATTCCTCAATACTTACAACTATGAGTCCTTTGACGATGACATCCGTATAATAATCTGGTTGAGTTTCTTGGAGAGAAAGCAAGTGATCATCATAGTGTTACTTTTTTCTTTTTGTGCACGTTTCTCATCAACTAGTCCTTGAAGAAACTCATCGATCATAGTGTTGACTCACTTTACATCTGTTTTAAAACGTTTTTTTTGTCGACTAAAAAAATGTTTATATTTAAACCAGCAATAACCGGATTTTATCATCAAAAGTTAAAACCAGTCGCTAATTAAATCAGAAGGATTCAAGAGATTATTTGTTTTATCTTGCTTCAGAGATCTTCAATTGGGAGAAAACTCGACTCTTCGATCAATGAATCTGTACCTCCGTAGCTGCTCTTCCCTTCATTATTGCTATTGCTATTTTGTATTTTCTTTTATAAAGTGAATACAAGCTTAGCTAGTAACGCATGCATATGAATTTACTACGTAATGATGTTATTTGATTTGTCATCTGATGTTACCAATTGATATGTTATTTGTAATAGATGTTACTTAATATTATTCATTTCTTCTTGGATATATAACATAACTAAAATCTACATAAATGTTCGAGTGTTCATATGATTTTATCATATTGTTAAATTTTGTCATCTCGAAAATATGTATAACTATTTAAAAAAAAAGATTCACCCACCTTTGCTAGGATTTTAGATTAGTATAAACAATTTCGATGATTTTTCTTAGTGGAATATTCAAGCATGCCTTGAAACAATGGTAATTATTATTTAATAAAAAAACAATGGTAATTATATTGGTGTGTTAGCTTCTGATTAGCTTCCAAAAGCTTAGTTTATATAATTTAAAATAAATATTAAGAATGTTTAAGCATCATATCGTAAATGGTTTTAAATAGATTAAAAGAATTTTGGCGTGTATAAACCGATTACTCTGTTAGTTCTAAAAACTAAATGGAGCTTAACGGATTTCAAATCTAAAAGTGAGACAGATACAAACGAGACTGATCCTAATGAATTGAGACCTGTTTTTTTTTTTTATATAAATCTAATCATAACCATATTTTTATATAAATCTAATCATAACCATAACACAATTGAAAATAACATATATTTATTTATTTACAAGAGCATAGAAACACATGATTAAATTTGAATTTATTGACCAACGTTTATTGGGTTAATTAGCAATCACAGTTGATAGATATTCATAAAAGAATTATAATGATCTCAGTGTCACACTATACAAAAAAATCATAAATGATTGGTAATGACTGTTGACTTTTACCATACTAGAATTGGTATGGAAATCGTGTTAGTTTGTCAACAATTAAACAAGATTTGAATTGAGTTAAGGACAAGGCGCGCGGTGCTGCTAATAAACGTGGTAACTTTTGAATCTATTCAACAACATTTTATTGGGTTACCAATTTTTACTATATATAGATTTTTCTTACCAAAATCTCACTTAATAACTTCATTTTAAGCAAAAATCTATCGTTAAGCAACCATTATTATTTATACCACCACAATTACACAATCTCATACACAACTCAAATCTAATAAGTAACACCTCTAAACAAAGCAGAAATGAGAAATAGTGAGGGTCAAGAAACACATGTTCTATTGGTAGCACTACCATTTCAAGGTCATCTTAATCCAATGCTCAAATTCGCCAAACATCTCTCACGACCGAACCTCCGCTTCACTCTCGCCACCACCGAGAAAACCCGTGACCTTCTCTTCACCGCAGCCACCACCGCAGACGAAGAACATCACCGTAGCCTAGTGGACCTTGCTTTCTTCTCCGACGGTCTGCCTAAAGACCACACAAGAGCCGCAGATTCTCTCATACCATCGTTGAGAAAAGTCGGAGCCAAGAACTTGTCTAAAATTGTCGAATCAAAGAGATTCTCTTGCATCGTCACTGTGCCTTTTGCTCCATGGGTTCCAGGTGTTGCAGCTGCATATAACATCCCTTGTGCAATCCTCTGGATCGAAGCTTGTGGAGCTTTCTCCGTTTATTACCGTTACTACATGAAGACGAATGCTTTCCCTGAGAATCTCGAAGATTTGAATCAAACGGTTGATTTGCCAGGTTTACCATTGTTGGAAGTCGGAGATCTCCCTTCGTTTCTCTTGCCTTCTTCAGGAAGCCATTTCAATAGCCTAATGGTGGAGTTCGTCGATTGCTTGAAAGATGTGAAATGGGTTTTGGTTAATTCGTTCTACGAGCTCGAATCAGAGATAATCGAATCGATGTCTGGTTTAAAACCCATGATCCCAATTGGTCCTCTGGTTTCTCCGTTTCTGTTGGGAGCTGATGAAGAAGACAAAACCCTAGATGGTAAGGATCCGCCGCCGCGGATATGAGGAGGAGAGCGACGGAGCTGAAGCACGCGGCGAGATCGGCGGTGGATCATCGGCTCGGAATCTAGACTCGTTCGTCGCCGACATTACAATCAGCTGACTCGTTACTTAATAATTATCTTTAAACCAGCAGTAACCGGGTTTCCATTCAAAAATTAAACCAGTCACTTATCAAATCAGAACTTTTCTTGACATTAGGTTTTTATCGGTTAATTAAATTGAATTGTTTTTCGATTCGGAAATTTGCATCTGTCTTAGAATAATTAACTTTAAACCGAAGATAACCGGGATTTAATTTTATATTAGAGTCCCTTGACTAGTTTACTTTGCATCTGTTTTAAAATGAATAAATTCAAACCGGCAATAACCGGATTTTAATTTCAAAGGCTTTAAACCAGACGCTTTTCAAATCGGAACGTTTTATCTTGCTTCGGAGATCTTCAATTGGGAGAAAACTCGACTCACCGATGAATCTGTACCTCCATAGCTACTCTTCCCTTCGTTCTTCTGAACAATCGAGTTTGAGCTAAACGAATCACTCACCATCAACCTCGTAATCACCAACGAGCTTTCGCCTTCGCCGCCGGAGATCGTCGCGGCGCTATCCTCATGAGGCTCTCTGCGAATCGGCATCATCTGAAGCTGAAGAACATACTCCAGATCCCATATCACATCCCCCATGCTCGGCCTCTCGTCTCCGTACTCTTTTAAACACTTCTCCGCGATTTCCATGTATTTCCTCAACGAACTCGGCTCGATCTGACCTATCAATTTTGGATCTAAGATCTCATCAGTAATCCCTTTGGATTTGCAGAACATCGCCCACTCCGCTAGATTCACTTCCTCGTGAGGAAGAGAAGTATCGAGAGCCGATCTCGCGCACAAGACCTCGAGGAGAACGACTCCGAAAGCGTAAACATCTGATTTCTCCGTCAAGATGTGTGTCTGCAGATACTCAGGATCCAGGTAACCGAATGTTCCTTTGATGTTAGTGCTGATATTGATGGGATCTTGATTACGAACCGCGAGTTTCGAGAGCCCAAAATCGGCAACTTTGGCTACGGTGTTCTCGTCTAGTAGTATGTTTGTTGATTTGACATCTCTGTGAATGATTGCTCCTTCTGAGCCACTGTGGAGATAATGCAAACCTCTAGCTGCTCCGATGCAGATCTCTAGTCTCTGTTTCCATGTCAGTGAAGGCAAATCCGAGCCGTATAGATGCTCTTTAAGCGTACCTTTCTCCATAAACTCGTAGACAAGGATCATCTCCGAGTTCTCTTCGCAGTAACCCGTTAGAGAAACGAGGTGCCTGTGCCGGATTCTCGACAGGACTTGAATCTCTGTTTGAAACTCCAATATTCCTTGTCCTGAACCACTCTTGCCTCTCTTGATAGCCGCTTTGCTTCCATTTTGAAGAATGGCTTTGTAAACGTCTCCGAAACCGCCTCTCCCGATCAACCACTGCTCGTCGAAATTGTTTGTAGCTCTCATAATGTCTATGAAGGGAATTGTCAAGCCTAAGTTTAGGTTGCGTAATGGCGAATTGTTGACCGGATCAAAAGGTCTATTGCTGCGTAATGGAGAATTGTTGACCAGATCAGAAGGTATATTGTCGGAACTCCCAGCACCTCTGTACAATGGCAAAGGAGACCATTCAGTGACCTCAGCATCTGACTTCTTCTCCTTCTTCAATCTCCTCTGCTTCAAGAAAACTGTGAACAACAAACTCAATACCAGAACCGATGCAGCAACAACACAGCCAGCAATGATGTAAACCCGGAAACTACTTTTATCTGAAGAATCCGACTTTTTCAAAAACTCCATCACCTCCAGACCATTCAGAAAACCAGCATCCTTAGTGGAATCCTTAGTACCTATTGTAACATTCAAGAGTCCAAAACCATCAGAGACATTCACATCTTTGAAAAACGGAGTCACCAACCTAATACGCTCTGAAGGCTTTACACCTAGTCGTGATTGTCCGTTTACATAGAGATAGAAATCGGAGTCGGGATTTTGTGATTCACTCTTGATATCACAGAAGTGAACCCTGATGAAGTGTCTAGAGTTGCTATTGACCTTAAATGACCAAGTAACGTTCATCAACATCCCATCTGCCATCCCCTCATTCGAGCTATGGTTCATCGTTTTCGCTGTCTGATAGACAAAATCAGGAGCAGTGAATGGCGTCGCTGTCCCTGACTCGTAGTTAGGCTTTTGTGTTGAATTAATGTTCCTCGCAGAATCTTTTTCGTAGAGGAAGTCCTCGTCTAATGACCAAGTTCTTCCCAAGGTGTCGTTTTCTGGTGTGATCTTCTTGCCTCCTACGTTTAATCTGTAAACCGTATGCAGATTCTTGTCGGAGTCTGACGGAATTTCTAGGTCATTAGGAGCAGAGAACACTTCGATGGCGTTGACGAAAGCCATGGATGAATGATCGGGCACAAATCGAATTTCGAATTCTGGCGAGTCAATCATCAGGAGAAACTCCTCAACTCGTGGGGTCTCATTGAAATTCTGAAGCGAGAAACTTTTCAAGTGAGAAGTAGCTGAGACTGTGAAACGAGCAGTTAAAAGCTCTGTCCGAGAAGAGACAGCAGAGAAATGGAGACGCACGAAGTGCAGACCAAAGGAATCGAGTTGGAACTTGTAAGAAGAAGGGCGTCTGAATATTCTAACCGTTTCATAGATTCCTGATCCTGATTGGTTGATGGCTTCAGTTCCTTTACTGTTGAAAGAAACGGAGTTACCACCGGAGATCATATCTCCGACGAAGGTCCGACCACCATAAGTGACAATAGAATCCGACCCACAGTTGACATAAAACTTCTCGGGACGATGAGAATATGTAGAAGTAGCAGAAAGAGTGCAACGAGGAAGAAGAACAATGACCACAGTCGTCATAAAGCGAGAAAATGAGTTTCGAAAACAGAGTTTCTCCATAGCTTTGTTGGAAAATCTAGAGAGAGAGAGAGAAAGAAAGAGAGTCAATAGTGAAAATCAAGTTTTTGAGGTCAATGGATGAAGAAATATGTGGTCGATGTTCAGAGGATTGAGGAAGAAGATGAGATTGAAGGAAAAAAAGTAAAATTATTGGTGGGACAATAAGGAAGAAGACCGGAGTTGACGTTTCAAGTCTTCGTTTTTGTCCAAGACTGACTTAGTAATCGGTCAGTCAAAATTTTCTGTTATCTATTTTTAGTTTGGTTTCGTTTGGCATGATACGTTTTTTCTTTATTCGAATTTTTTTTATATGATTTTGCACTGACTTTGTGATGCTGTAATCTGATAAAAATTATCGAATTATATTTTTTGGATGTGATCAAAATATTTCTAAACCGTCTGTCTTCGTTTCTCCTCTGGTTTTGGTGTCCATGAAGTCCTTCCATTTAACACAGTTTTGTTTATAGGATATACATCTCCCAGGAATAAAAATAACAAAAGATTTGTACTCTGAAAAGTTGTCTGCTTAAAAACGAAAAAGTATCAGTGGAGTATAGAGTCGTATAGATTATACTATCAATTGCATCATCTTAGAACGATATAACTGAAAATTTCTTGTTTTGGTTTATAAGTAAAAATTAGAGCGTCTTCCATTTACCTTTTGGTTTTAAAAAAAAAAAATAATTAAGCAGTAAAAATTTCTTGTTTGTTTTCACCAAATATTTTTAATATAATTCATTTTAGAAGATGTCTTTTGATGAATACTTATACTCTTATTGGTAAGACCGACGATTTTGTCATTGTGACCTTAAATTATGTGTGTATGTATAACTTTCTTATTCCGATTTGAGTCATTTGACTATTGTAGAGTTTCAGTAGTTGGAAAGTGGAATGATTTGTGAGATGATTTTTTTTTCCTCATTGTAATGGCAAAGCTTGGGTTTTAAGCAACTATATCTATAGCTTTAATTGGTCGCTGATCCTGATCGCCACTAACTAATACATTTCTCAGTGAAATATCTTTCAACATGCTAAGTAAGTTATTATTTTACTCAGCTAATTTATATTACCAAAAGAGAAAAAGGAACAATTTTCTGAGATGTGTGTTGAATGTTGGTTCTTCAATTTGGCAGAAGATGATTGATTTAGTCGGAGCAAGAACATTATTACCTCTCTCAAATCATGTCCATCTAATAAATAGGAATAAGTTTGAGCTTTGTAAACATTCTTTCATTGTTCAATTACAGAGAAACACAAACATTGGCTAAAAACAGAGTATGTATATGATAAACACACAAAACTAAACCGGAAACAATCATTGATATTTAGTTTTTGATAAAATGAGTTGCCTTCTCCCCCAAGCTTCTTCTCTACCTATGGTCTGGTTGCTTCATTCTCTTTTTCAAAGATTCTTCATCTTGGGTTTAAGAACGCTATACAAAAAAAAAACGGCGTAAAAAGTTAATTTTCACATACAGTATACATTAACCCAGAAACTTTCGTTATACTATACATAGTCTATAATCTATGAAATTCAGAAGATTACCTCTCTTAATGAGCTGTGGTGCTTCTGCTTCTGTGTTTGTTTCGGCCAAAAGGACTCGTGAACCACCTCCGTTTGTAGAAGGCCAATATGTATCCAATCGTCAATCCTAATACAATGCCAGGTCCAAATCCTATTGCAGCTGCAATCCAACTAAACACCTCTTCGTCTTCTTCCTCTGCCTCCTCCGGTGTTTCATTCTCTTGCGATGATGTCTTGTGTATATCTTTGCAAACTTCGTCAAGAGAAGGGCCAAAAAGTCCTGAGTTGTGTTCGAAGGAAGAGCAAGGCTGCGTTCGAAACTGAGTGCCTCCAGGTACTAGACCGACAAGCTGGTTGTGGGAGAAGTTCATGTACGCAAGGTACGAGAGATTCCCTAGCTCTTGTGGGATCACTCCTGAAAGCTTGTTTTGAGAAACGTCAAGTGACTCGAGAGCTGTCAGGTTACCCATAGATGATGGTATGTGGCCAGTGAAAGCATTGTTTGACAAGTTGAGTACGTGAAGCTCTTTCAATAGGCCGATGGACCTTGGAATTTCTCCTTCAAGCCTGTTTCCAGAGAAGTCGAGTGCTGTGAGGATTTTTAGGATACGTACCAGCTCCATCTCTGTTCCTTTATTCATCAAGACCAATGAATCGTGGTAATAGCCTGATTTATCTTCTCCCATGTAGTTTACAGCCGAGCGATCTTCCTCTATTCCAAGTGATGACATTTTACTCCAGTTCACAAAATAATCTGATGGTAAAACTCCGTTGAAGTAATTATGCGAGATGTCCATGATTTTCAGCTGAAGGAAGGAGGCTTGATGTATCGATCCATGGAATGCATTGGAGCGTAAGACAAGAATTTGCAGGTTTTGTAGAGAACTCAACCAGAACGGAAACGTGTCGTTGATTTTGTTGCTTTCCGCATTAAGAACTTCAAGGGCAGAGAAATGGATCAAAGATCTTGGAAGCTTTCCCACCAGTTGGTTATGACCAACGTCAAGGGACCTTAGACTTTCAAATACATTCTCCGGAAGGCCTCCGCTAAGATGATTCTGACGGAGGTTTAGAACCGAAAGATTACTCTTGAGATTCTCCATACAAAGAGGGATTGAACCATTGAAGTTGTTTTCAGAGAAATCGAGAACGCTTAGAGAGCCCAACGCGCATATGAAGGAGGGAATATTTCCTGTGAAATTGTTTCTGGAGCCAGACAAGTACCACAAGCCAGAGGATAGTCCATGTTTCGTTGGTCTTTCGAAGCTGGTGAAAGTGTTGTTGGAAAGATTCACGTAGTAAAGAGTTGGTGGAGTCCATAACCAGCCAGGCACTTGACCTTTGATTTTGTTGTTGGAAATGTCTAGTCTCTTCATAGACTGCCGGGTTCTTATGATCTCTGGAAATTCGGTAATACCGCAGCCAGACAAGTTTAAATAATATAACATTTGCGAAGGAGGATCTGAAACTGAGCTCTTGGTTTCGGCTGAAACATGGTTGCCTGAGAGATCCAATTCTTCGAGCGACTTGAAAAATGATAAGATGGCATTACAATACAAAAACTTGTCATATCCCTTACTTGTAACAAGAAATCCATTAAGTTCAACCATGGACAACTCCAGAAATGGCTATTCTTCCTCTGTTCCGAGACAACCCGATAGATATGACTCGGGTACACGATCCTCGGGTTGGCGAGTCCCTGCTTTCTCTTCACGGAACGCTTGGTCCAGGAGTCATTCGGTGAATAGACTTTTCCTTTGATCATATATCTTAAAAAGTTCTGGCCTTCTGTATTCGTTTTTTATCATGTTTTGGTGTGTTCTCTTTCAGATAGTTAACAGGCGTTTGCTCGATGATCCTCCAGCCACTTACTCAAGATCAGCGATTTCATCAGTCAATCGTAGTGGTTGTGTTCAAATGGGATAAGCCAAGATATTCGAGTGACTTGAGATGCGAGAAGATACTCAAGTCAATTGGGCCTAATTGGGTGTTCCAATTGGAAAGGTCAAGGTAATAGAGGTTGACTAATTTGGAAATGGATCTCGGGATTGGCCCTCTCAAGTTGTTACCGGAAAGCACTAACCACTCTAGCTTTGTTGGTGAAGATATATTCCCAAACTCAAGAAGGCTGTCGAGTTGGTTATTTGACAAATCAATTTCTGTCAAAGAAGGAATGGTGAAGAGAGAAGAAGGAATGGTTCCAACGAAATCGTTGTCACTTGCTCCAAAATGCACCAAGTTGGAGAGTGAGCTAATGTTTGAGGGAAGCGTTCCTGTGAGTTGATTGAATTCGAGTGATAACTCCCTCAGCTCTGTCGAATTTAGTACCGAAATTGGAAACTTACCACTAAGCTTATTGAAACCAACATCTAACCACCTCAAAATTTTCAAACTGGCAAAAAAATCTGGGATTTCACCAGTGAGTCTGTTACTACGGAGGTCAAGAGTTTCGAGATGAGAGAGCTTTTTAATTGAAGACGGAATCTGACCCGAAAACTGATTGGAAGAAAGATGAAGAGAGGTAAGCTGTGAAAGATTTCCAATTGAAGATGGAATCTCACCCGAAAACTGATTGGAAGAAAGATGAAGAGAGGTAAGAAGTGAAAGATTTCCCATTGAAGATGAAATCTGACCCGAAAACTGATTGGAATAAAGTTTGAGAAAGGTGAGCTGTGAAAGATTTTCAATTGAAGACGGAATCTGACCCGAAAACTGATTGAAAGAAAGATAGAGAGAGGTGAGCAGTGAAAGATTTCCAATTGATGATGGAATCTGACCCGAAAACTGATTGGAAGAAAGATCCAAAGAGGTAAGCTGTGAAAGATTTCCAATTGAAGATGGAATCTGACCCGAAAACTGATTGGAAAAGAGATAGAGAGAGGTGAGCTGTGAAAGATTTCCAATTGAAGATGGAATCTGACCCGAAAACCCGTTTTCAGAAAGGTCGAGAGAAGTAAGAAGAGAAAGATTTCCAATTGAAGATGGAATCTGACCCGAAAACCCATTGGAAGAAAGGTCGAGAGAAGTAAGAAGAGAAAGATTTCCAATTGAAAACGGGATTTGACCATGTAAATCATTATGTGAAAGGTCTAAAGTGGTGAGAAAACGAAAGTTATGAAGCCTAAACAGACTGGTATTGGAACGAAACTTGCCGTAGAGAGAGCTGCATCTGAGGTCTAGCTCGATCACTTCCCCGGATTTGGCATCGCACTTGATACCATCCCAATAACAACAATCAGTATTATTTGCCCATGACTCCGTCTTCGGGTACGGGTTTACCCAGCGACCATTAACATAACACCGAAAAGAAGGCTTCCGAATCTCAAACTCATTCTTGAACTCGAGAAGTGCATCCCTTTGCTCCGGACGACACAAGTGTCTAGTAGGAGACGCAAACACGTCATGAAAATAAAAAACGAACAAGAGGAGAAAAGAAAGAGAAATATGAATGATACTCATTGAGTTTCAAGAGCCTTTCGTTTTTTCTTTAAGCTAATTTTTAACTTTCTTGAAAATCAATAGCGAAAAAGAAGCGAGCAAATGGAAATTGTGATGGTTAAATTGGTTTCATGCCATCTCTTTATATACATATAGTCAGTGCTCCATTTCCACTCAGCTTCGCTTGGCTCACCATTTAGTCCTTCGTACGAAGTGTTATTCACGTTGAAAGAAGAGAGTGAAAAGTCTTTTGTGTTGAATAGTTTCCACACATTTTGGTTTAACTTATACTACAAGAAATTTCAATAAGTCGATGGATGAAGAAACCTGTGGTCGATGTGAAGAGGATTCTGAGGAAGTAGATAAGATTGAAGAGAAAACTGAGATTTTTAATGGGACAAGAAGGAAAAACACCAGGGTTGATTTTTCAAGTCTTCGTCTTTTGTCCCTAGAAACACATCACTCTCTAATTTTTTACAAAATATCATAAAAACCAAAATTCTTAAAAATCCAACATGATATAATAATTATAATTCCTAGAGCACTTCAAGATTATAAAAAAAAAAAAAAGAATTGTAAAAGTACAAATGTAATACTCAATATACAAACACGAAGATAAGTTGACTCTGGGAAGAATGATATGTAGTGGATTGCAAAACTTACAAGAAATATTATATCATACTGTAATGAAAGGGAAATATAAGTAGCTGTGCAACAATACAAATATAGAGGGTTGCAAAAATCAATAGATCATACTGTGAAGAAACGGAAATATCAGTATAAGCAATATAGTTTACTTTTAGTTAATTTCAAAATATACAAGAAATTTTAAGGGATAATTAGCAAAATACACTATTTAAGTTTCTGAATTAGTAAAATACACCATTTTTTTTTCTTTTAAAAACTACACTTTTGATTTATGTTTAAAATCGTTTTGACCAAAATTTAACTAACATTATCTATTTAAATAAAAATAAAAACTCAAAATAATAATTATTATGATTGAATTTTTATTTGAGATAAAGATATCTCATTAATCACATTAATTAATTGGATAAATCTTTAAAAAAATTTCAACTTTATCTCGATAAAAAAAACTTTTTTTTCAATTTGTTATATAAACAAGTCGTTGACGTCTTTCTTTTTCTAAGAAAAAAAAACAGAGAAGGGAGCAGAAGAACAACACAGCAATACGGTATCTCGATTTGTGATGCTTTCCTATATTTATTTTGTTTTTTAGTTGAAATGAATGATTTGGTTATTAAAAATTACCACATATTTGAATTCTTTTCTTCTTTTTCATAGGTTTTGTTAGAGATGGAGTACAAGTTTCAGAAAGAAATTGATGGAAAAAGAAAGACAGAATCAGATCACACATATCCGAACAAAAAAACAATGAAGAAAAGTGTTATCCCATGCGTGGAAGTTTTATGGAAAGATTATTTTGAAGCGTGTATGACAGAATTTGAAGAAAGTTTGAACAATGGCTTTGCAAAGCTTAGTTCAGAGCTTTTGGATGTGAAATTTAAGCTAAAAAGACTTGATGAAGACTTCAAAACTTTACAAAAATCAAGTTGTAAATCGAGCAAGGTGAAAAAAAGCTTAAAAACAGCAAGAAAGGTAAACATTTTTTTTAGCTTGATGATTTCATATTTTACAATTGGTTTATGTATCACAAATATTTTTTATCAATTTGTTTTTTTTTTTCACGTAACAACAGCAGCTTTGAAAGACTCTTTTGATTCATTGCACTGTACGGATACAGACTCATCAATCAAAATTGTGAGTATAACTCCAGCAAAGGAGAATGAGAAAAAGACGATGACAAAAGCAAATGTGAAAATCAAGGATTATGATTTGTTTTTTGAAACTGGTGAGAAGATGAAAAGAAATACGAAGATTGCAAAACCAAAGTCGTATAATCCGTTTGCAATAGCAGATCAAAGTAAAGTTCAGTGGCTAGACATTTGGATGAAGATAGACAAGTTTGTATTTTCACAAAACATATTTATTGCTATTTTTTAATATTTACTTTTTTCTTAACAAAATTTGTTTAATAACCTCCATTTTGCAGACCTACCACCGTGAACTTGGGCACTTTTAATGCAGACAAACAGTTTTTTTCTGAGCTTATTGTGCCACAATTCTGGTTAAGTGAAGATGTAAGTAAAATTTAAATTTTCTTTCACAAGTGTAAACATTTAGTGTACATAAACTAAATTTTGTTTGTTTGATGCAGCATATTGACGTTGGCATGTCTATGATGAGAAAAAAAATAGCAAAAGTCCCATGTCCTTTCCGTAGTGAAAGATTGGCATTTTTGGATGTGCCATTCAGAAAGCTGATATCAAAAGTCTACCCAAAGTTCTCACAAAACCAGAGAAACTTTGACTGGAGCGGTGAGTTAATTGATTACTATAAAGGTGTGAAAGTACAAATAAGAGACTTGGCGTTGATGTCGATGATGTCTACCTTGTGCTAAACATTAAAAGTGTTCATTGGATTGCTTTGGCTATCTCAATTCCTCACCAGCATATTGAAGTGTACGACAGTATCATTTCGCTAACTAGCGATGATGAGATAAGAGTTGGTGAGGCCATATGCACATATGCTTCTATATCTTCTCAAATCATTGGCTTCACCAGCTGACCAATACGTATTAAGTACTGATGAGTACACAGTATCAAGATGTAGAAGAATTCCACAGAACACTCAAACGGGTGATTGTGGAGTATATGCTATGAAGTATATCGAGTGTCTTGCCTTAGACATAGATATGAATGTTGGACTGTCTGATGAAAACATCAGTGATATCCGGCAAAAGTTTGCAACGGATATGTTCGGAGAAGCCAACCATTTTCAGAATCTTTAGATGTATTTTTTGGGTTTTGAGTTTTAGGAACGTACTCTTCTTTTCTTAGTTTTCTTTTATTTGGAAGTTCTTTTCTTATAATTGATTCATTGATTCTTATTGTTTGGTTTCTCGTTGGATTGCTTCTCACTTGGTTTTCCTATTTAGTTATATTTTTTTTTTAGAAATCTAATAGATGAATCACATTGTGATCTTTACATTACTCTTTTCTTTAGATACTTTTTTGCTTTACTCATAAATCTCATAAAAGAAAATCTTGCAGACTTCACAAGACTTTATAAAAGAAAATCTTTGTTTCTAAAACGCTAATGAAACTCTTCCCCGAAGGTCAATAATTAAACTTCTCGTCCCTTGGCATTAATCTCAAGCTCTTTGATTCTCACTTCAAATTTGCTCAAACCTTTGCTAGACTCAGCTTCTCTGTTCCTTCTATGTACCTTATCGAAAACAAGAAGAGAACCAGCAGCATCACAAGCAGAGCGAAGAGACTGGAGCAAATCTCGTTTGCTAATCTTGCAAAATCAAACTTTATCCATTTTCTCTGTTTTCTTGAGCTATCATAGCACTATACGAACCTGTTTTTCTTTTCTTTTTCTGCAGACTAAGTATAGTCTGTATCTTGTGATGGACTTCATAAACGGAGGGCATTTAATTCTTCAAGCTCTCTCACCAAGGGCTTTTCAGGTTTAGTTTAATTCCTTTTTGCAACTATTATAGGACTGACTAGTTCTATGTTTTGTTTTTCATAGAGAGGACTTGGCTCGTGTGTAGACTGCAGAAATTGTCTTTGCAGTTTCACATCTCCATGAGAATGGAATAATGCACAGAGTGTTATTACTTTTGATTATCAGAAAAAAGTCTAATAAACACTGTATTGAAAATAGAATCTGAAAACATTGCGTTTTACTCTTCACTCTTCAAAACGGAAATCAAACACAAGAGAAGAATCTAGATTCAAAGAAGGGAAGATGATCTACGTTCATAAAGCGTCTCCTATCTCCTTCCCTTTATATGGAGATATGTGGAGAAAGGATCATTTGTTGAACAGCCACAATCGCTTCTATATTCATTCAATCTCTATATGATGAGAACAATATGCAACATACAAAATCAGATATTGCACTCGGATGACTCAATCTAAGCCAAGATCAGAAGCAATAAACTTTGGATTACAAACGTTTTCACGTTCAATAAACAATTTCTGATACATTATAAGCAGAAAGTCTTTTTAGCAATCCAGTTTCTTTAAGCACAAGAAAGCAAAAGAAGAACACCAAAAATAGAGATTCATACATCCTGAATGATGGTAATTTTGTCCCTTGAGAATAGTCCATGACCTGAAAACAAAAAACCCCATCACATCATATGAACGCACAACCGGCGAGGCTATAAAAACTTGAAATTAAGTGTAACTGGGACGCACACACAGACAGAAGCAACAATGGTTTCACCTGTAAAGCTGTTCCATCAAGACCACAAGAGCTATCTGATGATTCAGAACCATGGAGGAAAGTCTAATGGTCACATTAGCTCGCTTCCTCACTTGTCTTCCATGTCCATAAGGTCCACCTATACAAAACGATATCCTTGAAGCTCCCTGAAAACAGATATGGGTGATGTAAGAACAAAGAGAAGGTATAAGCTTACACTATTTCCTGCATCGCTGATATATCATGGTTTTTATGGTTTTTGACCATGATATAGATCTTATTTATAGAGTCATTTTAGTGTTTTTCGAGTCTTTTGGAGTTTTTACAGGTCCTAGGTACGTTTGGAGCTTAATTGGAGATATTGAAGCATTTTGGAGCTAAATGGATGGATTTTCGTGAAGGATGATTTCAGCTGTGCATGAGTGTCGCTCGACACTACCATTGGTGTCGCTCGACACCAAGGACCACAAAAGGAAAAACGTGATTTTATCCAATTTCTGAAGAATCTGTGAAGCCCTGAAGTCTTTAATATTTACAAAAAGGCCCAAAACATGTTTTTAGATTTAAGAAGGGTTTTCTGCCTCCTTCATCGAGACCTTTTTCATTATTATTAGACTTTCAGAGAGAAAACTTTGTTCATCTATACTTTTGAGAGCTTTTGGGGAGACAAGTCTGAACTCTGTCCGTTTTGAGAGAAGATTTCGAACCCCTGTTATTTATTCAGTGATGTCTTATTTGCAATCTATTCATTCATGTTTGTTGCTTTAATATTCATGTCTGAGTAGTTAGCTTGTTAGGTTTAGGGTTCTCATAAAGGATTTCATTGAATGTTGGATTGATTTGCTAGTTAGGGTTCATAATCTGATTAATTCTTCACCATAGGTTGTTCTTAAAGCTAAATTCTGGACTGATCACCTAGAACTTAGATTTTAGGTTAATTGATTGACACGAAAGTGTAATTGAATAACTGGAAAGAACCTAGGGTGAGCAAAGTAGCTATCCGCAAAGAAATTTGGTTTAGATACTTTGTGAACATATCGAACCTGCACTTAAGGCTAGTTTATATCTTTAGGATTTGCAAAGAAATTTGGGATTCTAGGATTTAGACTTAGATAATTCTCGCAACGAAAGTTGGTTAATTATAATTTCGTGATTTGAGTTCAAGAACCGCGCTTAACCTGAATCCTGACTAGTTAATTTATCTGCATTTTCTGATTTCCTGAGAAACACCCTGGACCTAATCTTTTTCCAATCGATTTACAACCGTTTTTCATTGTTCTGCTGTTTTCAATTCTGTTATTTCTGCTTAGCGTAATTCAATTCCTTTAGGTCTATTGAGTGAATCTCTCGTCTCTGTGGTTCGACCCCTACATACTACAACCGCACATCTGTGCTCTTGCAGAGTAGCTCTAGGGATTAAACTTTGAGCAGATCAAGTTTTGGCGCCGTTGCCGGGGACTTGATTTTCGCCATTAGACTTTAGATTTTGAGTTTCGACTAAGTTTTTCTTAGTGTCGAGCGACACCCTTAGTGGTGTCGCGCGACACCAGTCTTTTTGTTTGATTTTACTTTGTTTGATTTTTGTTACTTACGTAGCTCTTTCTCTTTGTCTTTTGTGTTTCAGGTGTATGCAGACTCGCAGTACCAGAAGCAACAAAGACAATCCACTAGTAAATCTTAACAACCAAGAGCTAGCAGAGTTAGAGCGAACGAACAGAAAAGCACAGAAACCGGCAACGATGGAGAACACAAATAGACTTGTTCGTGATGATGCTGGAATCTGGAGAGACCAAGAAGGCCATGTGTGCGATGAGAGAGGCCAGCGACTTGATGGAGAGGGCAACATCATCCCTCTGGCACCTTTACCGGTGGATGTTGTTGATGTGAACGCAGCACCTGCGGCGCGTGGTAACCAGAGGAATGCTGCTGTGTACCAGAACGTGAGGAACCCTGTAGTTGCTCGAGCCAGGACACTTGGTGATTACAACAGGCCTGAGCAATTCTATGCAAATCGGTCTGCGATTCGCGCTCCTGCGTTTCAGAGGAATGACTTTGAGCTGAAGCCTTGTGGGACAGCATCCTTTTCATGGTCACTCTCATGAGCACCCTATGGATCACATCGAGAGGTTTGAGGACTTGGTCACCAGCATCAAATACAATGGAGTATCCAATGATTTCCTCCTCTGCAAGCTGTTTCCTTATTCTCTTGCTGGAGAAGCAGCTAACTGGTTGAAGCAGTTGGAGCCAGGATCACTCACCACCTGGGAGGAGACCAGGAATGCCTTCCTGCACAACTTCTTCGATGATGCTAGGTCTGAGGAATTGAGAACAAAAATTTCAACATTCTCTCAAGAACCAACTGAAGCGTTCAAGGCTTCTTGGGTGCGATTCAAATCGTATCAGAGAGACTGCCCCCATCATGGCTTCAGCGATGTTCAACTGTTAGGTATCTTTTTCAGAGGTGTTGATTGGAGGTATCAGATGGCTCTTGATGCAGCGAGTAATGGAAACTTCAACACCAGATACCCAGAAGAAGCTGTTGAGCTCATCGAAAACTTGGCGTCTAGTAATAGCACCAAGAATGCTGATCTTGAGCGGAAGAAGCAAGCTGGAAACATGGATAGATCACAGATTGCTGAAGTGAAGGCTAAGCTGGACTCTGTGCATAATCTTCTTGTGGGTAAGAAATCTGTCAAATTTGCTGTAGAGGTTGAGAGTTTTGAACCAGAAGAAGAACCTGAGGAAGAGGATGTTAACTTCATCAATGGAGCTGGATTTCAAGGTCAGAGATTTGGTACTCAGCAAGGAAACAGGAACTATAGTGGAAATAATCAGAGGAGTACCTTCACAAGTAATCAGAACTCCTCTGGTTACACTCCTAAACCTCAGTACCAGAAACCATTCTCCAATAACAGCTTTTCAAGGAACTATGGTGCTACTCCACCTCAAACTGCAGATAATGAGGTGAAATCTATGCTGGAACAAATCTTGGAGGGTCAGCAGAAGATTACTGTGGACTTCAATGGGAAGATTGATGCTCTATATCTGGATCTGAATGGGAAATTCGAAGCTCTGAACACTCATGTCAAGAAGTTGGATGTTCAAGTTGCTCAGACTGCTGAAGCTGTAAAAAGGCAAGAGGGATTTCTTCCTGGGAAGACTGACACCAACCCAAGACATCACTGCAGTGCCATCACATTGAGAAGTGGTAAAAAGCTTATTCCTGAGCTTAAAAAGGGTGTTTTTGAGGATGAAATCGTGGAACTGGAGGAATCTGCAGAAAATTTTGAAACTGCAGAGCCGGTGTCGAGCGACACTACCATTAGTGTCGCACGACACCAAGTCGATGATAGTAAAAAGACACCAGCAGTGACGGACGACACCAACACGGGGGTTGAGCGACACCAAGACGCCGAGACGAAGAAGAAACTAGCAGTGTCGAGCGACACCACCACTAGTGTCGATCGACACCAACCTCAGGATCCGAAATCAGTGCTAGTGTCGCTCGACACCACCACTAGTGTCGATCGACACCAGCCGCCATCTGAGGAAATCATCACCAAGAAGCCGAAACCAGCTGAGGAAAGAGTCTACAAACCTAAGATTCCTTACCCAAGGAATCCTAGGAAGTCTAAGCAGGAGCTAGATGAAGCAAGATGCAAAGCTTTGATGGAGAAGCTGGTGATTGAGATTCCTTTGGTTGATGCTGTGAAGATTACTCCTGTCATTAGGCGTTATGTGAAGAGAATGGTGACTAGTAATCTGAGCTATGAGCAAGGAGTGATGATGATTTCTGAACAGGTTAGTGCTGTGATTCAGAACCGGATTCCAGAGAAGCTCTCAGACCCAGGGAGTTTTGTCTTAGACTGCTCTATCTTCTCAGAGAGATTCAAGAGGTCGCTGTGTGATCTTGGTTCGAGTGTCAATCTCATGCCATACTCAGTAGCTGTTAACCTTGGAATGACTGATTTCAAGCCGACCAAGATCTCTCTAATCCTAGCAGATCGCTCTGTAAGGATTCCAGAAGGTGTCTTGGAAGATGTTCCAATCAAGGTTGGAGATTGCATGATCCCTGCAGATTTTGTCGTTCTGGAATATGGAGAGGAACCCAGAGATCCTCTCATCCTGGGAAGACCTTTCCTGGCTACAGCTGGAGCTATTATTGATGTGAGAAAGGGCAAGATAGCTTTGAATGTGGGTGATTTGGTCATGAACTTTGACATGGAAAAGCTGATGAAGAAGCCCACTATTGATGGTCAGACCTTCTATGTCGACACTCTCACAGAGTTTGCTGAGGAATTTTTCCATGAGATGCTGCCTACAGACCCACTTGAGAGAGCTCTGACCACGTCCGCATCTGAAGCTGAACACTTGGACGAAATTTCAGCATCTTACTCGAAAATGTTGGACTCCAGCGAGCATGTGATGCAGCTAGCATCGCAGATTGAACAGCTTGAGACTCCTGCGAAAGTGAAGCAGTTATCCGACTGGATTGAGGAGAAAGCGCCCAAGATTGAGTTCAAACAACTCCCTGCAGGACTAAGGTACGCATTCCTGGGCTCTAATTCTACTTATCCAGTCATTATCAACTCTTCTTTGAACAATGCTGAGGTTACCTTACTACTGAGCAAGCTGCGCAAGCATCGCAAAGCTTTTGGCTATTCTCTTGATGATATTTCAGGTATCTCACCAGACTTGTGCATGCACCGAATCCACCTGGAGGATGAGACGAAGTCATCGATTGAACACCAGAGGAGGCTGAACCCAAATTTGCAGGAGGTGGTCAAAAAGGAGATCATGAAGCTGTTGGAAGATGGGATCATCTATCCGATTTCAGACAGTTCTTGGGTCAGTCCAGTGCACGTGGTCCCTAAGAAGGGAGGGGTCACAGTGGTGAAGAATGAGAAGAATAAGTTGATTCCTACAAGAACGGTGACTGGACACAGGATGTGTATAGACTACCGAAAGCTGAACGCTGCGACCAGGAAGGATCACTTCCCTTTGCCATTCATCGATCAGATGCTGGAGAGATTGGCCAACCATCCATACTACTGCTTTCTCGATGGGTATTCAGGTTTTTTCCAGATCCCTATACACCCGGATGACCAGGAGAAGACCACCTTTACTTGTCCTTATGGCACTTTTGCATATCGCAGAATGCCATTTGGACTTTGTAATGCTCCTGCGACGTTTCAGCGGTGTATGATGTCTATCTTCACTGACATGATCGAGGATTTTATGGAGGTCTTTATGGATGATTTTTCAGTTTATGGATCCTCTTTTAAAGACTGTCTGGAAAATCTGTGCAAGGTGCTAGCCAGATGTGAAGAGAAGCACTTGGTTCTGAATTGGGAGAAGTGTCATTTTATGGTCAGAGATGGCATTGTTCTTGGGCATAAGGTTTCAGCAGCTGGAATTGAGGTAGATCGTGCGAAGATTGAT